CTAAATCTATTAGTCGAAACAAGTTATTGAATTCTACATCTCGTTGCTATGGGTTATTGATCTGTTTTGCCCGTTGCTAGGCACAGAGAAGATTTGAACAAGAATCATATTGTGGTCTTTAGAATAAAAATCATTAGATATGCACTGGTTTTAATTGTTGAAATATAAACAATATTAGATGACCTTAAAGGCCAACCAAGCGCCCATCTAAACGACCAACGACGTGGCGTTACTTAATTATTTATGTATAATCTATATTATTAAAGGGACAGGTTTCGCCATTTTCGGGGGTAGATTTGAATCTTTATTATACATATATTATGTCTCTTCTATATATATAATGGCGGAGTCTCAAGTCTTTTTAACGCGATTAATTCAGGACACTCATGGATTTGAACGCTCAAATTTCGTGAACTGTGAACACTATTACTGATTGGCATAGCTAAAAAAAAATCCCGTTCCTGAGGGTAAGGTGTGGTCAAACGGATGGCGAAACTGCCCCTTTAAGACCGATACCAATCGCAAAACTCTAAGGTCCTTTTGTTACATATATATTTTAAAACATAATCCAATTAGTTCCCTAGAGTACAGAGGATGAATATTTCATTCAGAACATCTTTCGTTTCGGAAAATCTATCACGTTTACTTGTCTATCAGTAGGCTACTTATATACATTCAGTTAGGATCTAACGACAGCTCTCTTGAAGGTTTGTCAAATCAACCTTTTGACCTTACCTGATAAACACCGCGTCACAAAATGCAAGCTCTGGTAGAAATTTGATTGGTTAAAGCAGACGTCATCGAGTTAGGTCAAAAGGCTAATTTGACGACCATACAAGAGGGCTGTCGTTAGACCCTAACTGAGGTGGCTATATTAAAAATAATAGCTATAAAAAAAACGGAACGAAAGTTTGTTGTTATTCTAATTAGACTGCAGAACTGCTTTTATCGTTATTTATTCCATGAAATCGAGGATAAAATAAGATCTAATAATGGTAGGTGTATTTGGCCTTGGGTTACCTATTTGACATCGACATTTTACATGAATTGTTTACAATCTAGCCTATATAAACTGAGAAGAACGACCCACCATAAAAGTTTGCTTGCACTAAACAACATTTCCATAACAGTCTTCATAATACTCGTAGACTATTAAAGGGATTGTAAAGATTCAACCAGGCGGTTGTAGTTCCTGCAAGTGTTTGATGACGTCACTAAATGCGAAGGGCCTTATGTGATGAAGTATTTTTTGCGATAAGTGACGTCATCAAACACTTAGTTTTAATAAAATAACAGCTACCACAGACGTTTGATTGAAAATTGGAATGGTGCAAATTGATATTATCAGTGTCTCCGATACATACATTTTTTTTGAAAACCTCTTTACGATACCTTTAAACTTAACGGAAACTGCCAAGAGTTGCCGAATGATATAAACCGTAAAATCGGTTCACACTTCTTCCTTAATAATTCATGGTCCAATTTTGCCATAAGTTGGTTTATTTTTAGCATCTCGCGTGTCCTCACTCATTAATCAATTATTCCATTAATGGTTTGTTTTAATTGCTGACCACACACCCTCTTTAAATCGCGACTTTTTTTTTATATTCCGGCCTTTAACTTGCGATATATATTTATTTTCTTCTCCAACAATTCAATTGATCAGCTTAAAGGGATTGTTAAGAGGTTTTCTAAAAATATTGTGTGTATCGGGGACACTGATAGCATCAATTTGTACCATTCCAATTTTCATTGGAAACAACAATAAACAAAGTACAACAAATGACACATTACAATACAAACTATGAACAATATATTTAGGTTCAAAGTACAACAATGTACAGATTTCAAATGCAACAATAAACACAGTACAATAAAATGCCACAAAGTTCAATACAAAGTTCAAAACTCTGTAGGCCTACAACACATTTCAATACAAAGTGCAATTATGTACAACATACACAAAATACAACAATGTACAGATTTAAAATACAACAATAATCACAACTAAGAGTCAAAAAATATGTATATCTATAGGTTCAAAGACGAATCAAAGAGAAAATCAGGAGATAACAGCTTTACATTCCATTCCAAAGAGACACATGACAAATATCATCATAAAATATTCAAGTGAATCGTTAGAAGAAAAAGATATAAAATTTAAAGTCTCAAACTTGGTCAATAAGTGTATATAATCATCAGTTAGACTAACCAGGTGCCATGACTAAAGAATAGAATCTCTATATAAGACGATATATCTATTAAACTAAGGAATGATTGATAATCGCTTCTAAGCGTGTTTCAAAATTACTTAGTTTAATGGATTATTACTTAGTTTTAGAGATTTATTAGAGAGATTCTGTTGTATAGTTATGACACCAGGTAAGTCCAGCGATGAACAAAGACTTATTTTTGCCAAGTCTAATCCTAGTATACCTTTAAAGTGAATTGTTAAAAGAAAGAGATATGTTTTTAAACTACCTGTAGACCAGTTATAGAGGAGATATGACCCACGTATTTCCGTTTTAGAGCGGCAGATTTCAGGTCAAAACATCTTGTAATACAGTCGCCTGAGCCCGTGTACACTTGAGAGAGAGAGAGGAAAGAGAGAATTAAAGTTTGTAGTGAGTGGGGTGGGGCTGAAGTAGACTGTCGATGAGGATAAGAGTAGTGACGTGGAGAAAACAAGTGGAGATAAGCTGTGTGTGGATCAATTGCTTATTATAAACCTAATGAAAAATGAAATGAATGGAGTTTGTGTTTTACTCCCACTTTTCTGAACCATGCGAGCTAATGAAGATGGGCAACGTCATGCAGGTGTAACTGCGAGGGATCTTTAACGTGCACAGCCTGTTGCACATGGGCCTCGGTTTATTGTCCCATCCCAACGGCTAGACGCTTTTTCCATGCCAGTCAGACCTGCATCACTGACAGTGAATTTTGGTTTGTCGCACAATGCCACATTAATGATAGAGTCGTTGAATTGATGAAGATTTTGTCAAGGAGAGTGTAGGTCAGACCAATGTGTTGCTTTAAAGAATGAGAGTTGTTTTGCATGAAAGACTAAAACTAAAAATATGTTCTAAATACGGGTGGTGCTAAGCAATGTAATTAACATTAGGTAACAATTTCGTTTCGTTATTATGTTTGGTTGGTGTCCATTGTAATCTATAAAAATTTATACCAAGGTAGCGTACTGTTGACGTTCATTTCAACCAATCACAGCGCGTCATGCAGAATCTGTGTCTAAATATCAACTACGAATATTGTTCAAGTAGAGCTAAAAAATCTCGTTAGATTACAGTGGAGACCGACCAAAAAAAAAAAACCCCACAAAAAACAATAACGAAACGAAATTGTAATCTAATTCGATTGGGTGCTAGGTTACTGTGTAAAACTAAAAGCGCAGTGTTTATCGTCAAAAGCTCCAAAATTTAACTCATTGTTGCAGTCAAATATAGTCCGAAGAAAGCCGTCAAGAGGGCTTACAACTTCAAGGGTAAATAACTCATTAATCCACTCTAACCCCACACGAGCTGTTGGCAAAGTTCAAGTGTTCTGTACCTTTTTGGTCTACAGTGTCGGCTGTCCACTTAGTTTACACCCCAAATTGTACCCCACTTTATTTTTAACAAATTTGATTTTATTTTCGTATTTTTCCCAAAATATGTGTTAGAAAGACCAGATCAATTCTATTTTTCAAAAGTTTTCTTGGGGAGAACCCTCTGAGACGCTCCATTGGAGGCTTGTGCCTACGCACTTCCAAAGAGCTACCGCGTATTGAATCTCAACATCGACAGTAACTGTTGAGCAACAACTGTTGTAACCCCATTTGGTCAGTCTTGAGAGGCTTGCGTCTACTGGAATCCAAATTGATAAAAATGAAATGAAAACGACAACAGGTAACCATTTTGGAGCATTTGATTCAAACACACAATGACAAAAGCGTAACGCCTACAGAAAATATCTGAAATTTTATAAACCTGAAGTGCAGTCACTGTGCTTTCGTGCCCTTTAAATTCTCGCTTGGGGGCTCCACTTTTAGCGTCAAAACAGCGACATATAGCGTCCCCGCATGCAGTGTACACTGAAAAAACCAAGAATAAAACTTTAAGGGTGGTGATCATCGTGATAATATGGATATATAAATTGTGGAAAAATGTTTAAAAATTGAGGGGGGGGGGGCAATTTAAGTTTCTTGTCGATGATATTGGCGGTTAGGAAATGAGAGTTCCAGCATTCAAGCATAGTCTGCTTACTGAACAGGGGTGATTAGCCTCGACAATGAGAATATTCTACAATATTTTGATCCAAATCTAACTGCTCATTTCTTTCTGATGATAGCTCTTGGATGTCTGCCAGTCTAATCAAGATGGGATCAAACTTTCGTTCCCTTTTTTATTATCTTTTATCTTTTAGGGTCGAACGACAGCCCTTTTGAACGAAAGATTGATCTAGTTTTAATTAGACTGTCTTTTTATTAACTTTTCAATAAAGCCACCTCAGTTACGGTCTTACAACGGCCCTCTTACGCATTCGCCTGTTTAATGACACCGCCAGCCAATCAAATTCCTGCCCTCTCTAGCGCTGGGATTTTGTGACGGAAGAAAGTATGCATTCTGTGTCTAATGCCCTCTCTAATCCCAGCGTTAGAGAGAGCTGGAATTTGATTGGCTGGCTGTCATCAAACTGACTGAACGAAATTTTGGTCTAATTTTAATATAAAAAAAAACGTAAAGCTTACCCAGGCCGTCGAAAACTTTGATGACACTAACTGTATGTCGGTGTCCTTTATAAATCCGTGTGCAGTCGCCAAATTCAGTGACCCAGGATCGACCAGTGTGGTCTGAACTTCCTGTGTACATTATTTTATTCACTACCTGCAGATATAGAGAGAGAACTTCTTAGATAAAACCAAGAGAGAGAGAGAGAGAGAGAGAGAGAGAGAGAGAGAGAGAGAGGGCTGGACGGATTTGTGCAGTAGTAGTTGGCTTAAAGTGATTGGAAAGAAGTTGTCTAAAAAAATTATGTGTATCGGGGACACTGATAGCATCAATTTTTTTCATTCCAATTTTCAATCAGACATCTGTGGTTCCGAAATTCCACTAAAACTAAGTGTTTGATGACGCCACTAATCGCGAAGGACCTTATGTGATCTATCGTTCATCGGTACAATGCTATCGGTGTACCCGATAAACATAAAAAAAAAATTAGAAAAACTTTTTGCAATCTCTTTAAAGATTTAAAGTGGAGTTTTACACCCTACCGAATCTCATGTAGGTATGAGATGATGACTTTTGATGTCATTCAAACCTTTTTAAGAATATATTTACTGATAAAAACATACTGAATTATTCAAGTTGGGAGATACTCGGTTGACAAGAGAGAACGAGATTCCATTGATCTAGATTTGATACACTGAACATCTCTATAAGACGTAGAACAATGGCATGAATAATAAGCATCATTCTCTTGCGTCAAGATTTGTTTTTTCTTTTCGATCGTTTCCATAACAATCTTCATGATACTCGTAGATCTTTAAAGGGATTGTAAAAAGATTTTATGAAAAAAATTATGGGTATAGAGGACATTGATAGCATCAATTGGCCCCATTCCAATTTTCAATTAGATGTCTGTGGTTCCTGCAATTCCACAAAAACTAAGTGTTTGATGACATCACCAATCGCAAAATATGCTTTATGCTGCATAACCTCATCGCGATTAATGACGTCATGGACCATGTTAATTGAAGTATGCGGTGTCTTGTTTTTTTCCGACCTGTCGGAGCAGTCGGAGTCAGTCGGGAGAAACTAAGACACCGTGAAATATGAGATAAAAGTTGAAATATCAGTCAACTCTGTGAAGCCTACATTTCTCAATAACTGACCATAACACAACGTCGTCATGGTGCCGTCCGATCGTTGTTATAGTTTTTACTCATTCCTTGAGTATATTATAAACAATATGAGACTGACGTCATCACCAATTGATGGACTATTGTTTTCATTCTCTCGGATCGATCTCAATCTGACAGTATTGTTCTTTCACAATACCTCAGTTCCTCCTTCGACTAACAATAAACCACCATCTTGAATTCTACACGGGCTTAACGGAATCGAGTTAATGGGACTATCCCTATCAATGCAAATACTCCAGTTGGGCTCATGGAGACGGGCAACGCCTAGTCCGAAATATCGGCCTTTATTCCAGCCATTGATAGATACTTTGACAGTAATCAGCAGGAGTAGAGTCAGAAAAACCTGGCCCTGTTTCATGGGGATTTTTTACACCCCCGCAAAAAGACAGCTATCAGAGGCTGTAATAGAGGCAGATGTTTCGGTCTAGACAACGTCATGCAGTGGGTAATCCTCTAGGTTTATTGTCCCATCTGAACAACTAGACGCTCTGTGGCAGCCCTTCTCACATGATGGTTCTAAGTTTTTATATCGATACCCATTTGAAATGTAAAACAAAAAAAACAAAAATACCTGCATACAAATCACAGAACCTTGATGACCTTCAAACGTTTTCATGCCCGCGCCTTTATTTAAATCCCAACTGCGGATTGTAAAGTCTGTACTTCCGGTGAACAACACACGACCTGTCGGATCCACTGACATACACGTCACGGCACCTTTATGTCCTTTAAATACCCGAATTTCTTTACCAGTTTCAAAATTCCATGTGCGCGCTGTAAAATCCGCTGATCCTGTAATCAAAATATCATTATCCAAATCACCACTATCTAGTTCTTCTTCATCCGCTGGTATAAATATCAAAGGGTAAACGCCCCTTTTGTGACCCCGAAACACCCGTATGCACTCTCCATTATCGAAATCCCAACAACGGGCTGTTCTGTCGTAAGAACTAGTAAAGATGAAGTCTCCCGTACAAATCATTCTATATATAACGGATGTGTGTCCTTTTAACACTAACACGCACTCGCAAGTGCCTACGTCCCACTTCCGGACAGTCTTGTCTGCACATCCGGTCAACACGAAGCAATCTTCTATTAAAATACATGTAATATAGTCATCATGCCCTTGTAAAATCCCAATGCATTCGCACTCCTCCGTTTTTGTACTCCACAAACACGCCGTCTTGTCCTCACCACCGGTCGCAAGCACACTTCCGTCCTCACTAACAGCCATGCAGTTAATCCCCTTCTCGTGTTTAACAAGAGTCTGAAGATGATACGATCTGTTTTTGTCCTCATTTTTGGAGCCACAGTTCCCCATTTTGACTTGTTCGTTTTTTTCAATCTACTTCATTTATCTGAAATAATAAAAGGTATATTTATACTGGAGCACGACTCGTGGTTTTCTTTTCAGCAGAACCGCTTCGAGGAATAAAACGAACATTCCAATGGACTATTTGGTACAGTGGAAAACAATTTGTTGTGTATATGAATGACAAACATTTTACCCACCAACCCCTACCCAACTTTTAGTATCAACAATCCTTACCTCACTCTTAGCATCAACAATCCTTACCCAACTCTTAGCATCAACAATCCTTATCCCACTCTTAGTATCAACAACCCTTACCCAACTGTTAGCATCAACAACCCTTACCAAACTGTTAGTATCAACAACCCTTACCTTACTCTTAGTATCAACAACCCCTACCTCACTCTTAGCATCAACAACCTTAACCCACTCTTAGTATCAACAACCCTTACCCAACTCTTAGTATCAACAACCCTTACCCAACTCTTAGCATCAAAAATCCTTACCCCACTCTTAGTATCAACAACCCTTACCCAACTCTTAGCATCAACAACCTTACCCCACTCTTAGTATCAACAACCCTTACCCAACTCTTAGTATCAACAACCCCTACCTCACTCTTAGCATCAACAATCCTTACCCCACTCTTAGTATCAACAACCCTTACCCTACTCTTAGTATCAACAACCCCTACCTCACTCTTAGCATCAACAATCCTTACCCTACTCTTAGTATCAACAACCCATACCCAACTCTTAGTATCAACAACCCCTACACCACTCTTAGCATCAACAACCTACCCAACTCTTAGCATCAACAACCCCTACTCTACTCTTAGTATCAACAACCCCTACACCACTCTTAGCATCAACAACCTTACCCCACTCTTAGTATCAACAACCCTTACCCTACTCTTAGTATCAACAACCCCTACCTCACTCTTAGCATCAACAACCTTACCCAACTCTTAGCATCAACAACCCCTACACCACTCTTAGTATCAACAACCCTTACCCAATTCTTAGTATCAACAACCCCTACACCACTCTTAGTATCAACAACCCCTACACCACCCTTAGCATCAACAACCTTACCCCACTCTTAGCATCAGGCAAACTCCAATATGAGGGGAATAGCTCAGACGGAAGCGTGTTGGATTGTCGTCTTCTAGGCAATTGGGTGGCATGGGTTCGAATCCTCCACAAGGTAAAAATAAATGCTCTCGATAGTCGGCTCAGTGTCGGCTTTCTCCCCCTAATCTCTATATTCCCATCAACAACCTCTACCCTACTCTTAGCATATCGACTTACCTTACCTGAACACCGCACCTATCAAAGTAAACAAGAACGGTTGTTTGTGTATATGAATGACAAACCGAAGACGATCAATACCAGAGTATTAGGAAACCAGTCAACCTCAGAGCCTCGTCATCAATATTTTATTCATCGAACAGTTACTCTTNC